TATATATATATACATACTTTTGATAGGACTAATAGGACTTGTTTTCTTTGACTTTCTAAATAACGTATAGAAGAACTTTTTTAGTAGGCTAAAAAAATTTACCTCAACAAATTTATATGTTGGAACTATCAGATTCTCATCAAATTTCATGGATGTATTTTTATTATTTTGATATGATTTTAATATGATCGATGTATGGAAAAAAAGTCAAACCACTCTATATTTTTAGTTAAAATACCACTTTTACTACTCTTGAAAGTCCGATTTATTGAAAAAGAGATCATGATTTGACGTTTGGAGATCATGACACAGTTGTGTGCGAAAGGCACAGGCGCCGGCGGATAATGTTACGTAGGAGGGGGACGAAACTTGTGCGGGGGAGAAGAAATATTGCGACGATAACGCGAGGAAGAGATGACCAACTCAGATCGTTTGTAGATCTCATAACGACAACAATGGAGATATGAGTGGCAATGGCGTGAGGCAGTTGTTACTTGTGCAGAGCCATGGAGATGTGAGATCACAGAGGCGGAGATGAATAAGAGAAGAAAGAAGATATTTAGGGTTACAGGGACTGTTGGAGAATTTGTGTGTAGAGGGTGAAAAGAATGCAGAAAATAAGAGAGGGTTTGAGGTGTATATGAATACTTTCTTTTAAGATTTTTTTTCCCACACTTCTCAAAGTTTGCTAATGAGTTTTAATGGTAAATTACTCCCAAGATACAACAAACTCTTGAAACACAATATGTAGCAATAATATTGACTTTCAAAACATAAATTAAGTCTGTAAGTTTTTTGGAGAATTAATAAAAACATAGGTGTCATTTCATGAATGAATGCATCATCTTTAAACATTACAATCTTTCACATAAAGATACCTTTTCAATGTAATGTATCTTTTCATGAATTGATATACCTATTGCAATAGTTATATCTATTGCTAATAAGTGTTCAGATTTGTGTGAAAACATATGACCAATGGATACAATGGTTTGAGACTTTTCAGATCACATAAACACATGAAAACATAGTTTTCTGTAGTAATACCCGCTGCAGCGAGTGTTTTTTCCTGCTGCAGCGCTCGGGCATAACAAAAACAGACCCGAGAGGCTTGCACAATGGCACTGTAGTGTAAAATTTTCCTCTGCAGTGGATTTTTTTGACAGAGAGCAACCCTTCGGGGTGCACTGTAGTGCGCCTGCAGAACTGGACAGGCGCTGCAGTGCGCCTGCAGCACTGGACAGGCACTGCAACGCCATAAACAAGCGCTGCAGTGCCTATGGTTGCCATGACAACA